CCTTTAATATGAAAATGTTCACGAATGCCTATCAGTAAGGCTTTCCAGTGAACGCGGATACTAAATGTTCGCAGATTGTGCAACTTTAGCGGCTCAGAACGATATAGTTTCAGCGTTCTTTTTATGTTTTCAGCGGAATTCAGCGAAGAGTACCAGGCTTCTCTTCGTAAGTACTGCTACAATTTTTGCAGGCACAACGTTGTGTATCCAAGGCATACGGCATAAACGAAATATACAATCGTATCTATGCAGCAGATGATGGCAAATCATGATGTGGCTCGATGAGATCATGAACGTTATTCCTTCTCAGTGTCAAAGATTTGCTGTAAATACTTGGTGGTTATTTTTAGTTTGCGATCACCATTTTCTCTCTCTGAGCTAAACAAAACTTCTCGCTGTGATTGTTTTGAATACTACGCTGCATTTTTTTATGCTTACACAAAATTGGCGCTGCAGTTTGGCGCTCCTCCTTATTTTTTGCTGAACCCGAAAGCATCATTCAAAACTATTGTTGTTTTGAAGAAGTTGTTTTTTTGGATGGGCCTGTCTCCAAAGAAAAACTAAGTCTCTTTTTAAAAAACGTTTTCCTCCCATTCTTCCTGTTTCAATCATTGATGAGCTTTCCAAAAAACGCTTGCCTATCAAATATACACAGACTCTCGAACTGCCTGAACTCCAAAGTTTATTATGCAATTTGTAATAGAGACATTTTGTGGGAACTTAAGCTGCTTGTGTTCATCATTCTGCTCTTCTATTGCAATTTATTTTTCAGGACCTCATACACCCGACAAACCTTTGCCAGGCAAGCTTTCTTTTTCATATTGGCAATTTTGAACAAAAGATATCACAGTGTTTGAGTCAGAGTCATTGATGAGATAAACCGAGAAGTAGCATCATTGCCCAGTCTTAGCGTGGATGAACTAATCGTTGTGCACAGTGAAGTTGGTATACGTCCCGTACGGAGAAACTATCTACATATACAGGATGGTAAGAGGATGGTAAGTTCACGATAAGACAATTGTGAGGCATGCGATCATTTTTAATTAACCTATAATAAAACCAGTCGCCACGAAATTGTTCGCATCAACACCACTCATGGGCATTGCATAAGTTCAATGTAGGCCCGATTTGGCAATGATGGTGGTATGTGTTTCAGTAGCACTGGGTTCAATAGATTTGTCAACGCTTAATCAGGTTGGTTTTTCTGCTATTGGGTTGTACGCCGCTTTTGAGACCAACACCGGAGTTGGCGCTTTGTCGGGCGTATATTGTTTTCGCTATAAGAAGCTGTCTATCACTTATCGTTTGGGCTCTGCTCGTGCCTTACGTTGTCCATGCCTCGTTTCATTGCTCTAAACCTCAAAGTTTTTGGTAAAACCTACCCACAGCTTTGTTTTGTTTTTCTCTGTGTCATCGCTGTGTCAATGTGATACGCATCTATACCGACTCGATTAGTCGACCACCGAGTCCTAACTGCCAGTGGCGTGGCTTCCTTCGCAAGATGAGAGCGGATTCGTGGACTACCTTTCACCTCCTCCCCCGGTGAGCCAATACGGCCTGTCCTACTACAGGCCCCCTCCACCGACGCAGGGCTTCTACGCGCCTCCACCGGTGCAGACCTACCCTGCACCAATGCAGGGCTACTACGCCTCTTTTTACTATCCTCCTCTACCTCCTCCGGTGATGCAGCGTCCTCCCCTGATTCAACCCTACAATCCTCCTTTCTTGGGGCGCTACCATGTGGTCCATGGTAAGCTGTCATCTACATTTAATAGCGTAATACCTGTCCTCAAGGTATTGCTCAATGGTTATCTCAAAATTCACCACTGAGAGGTACGTACCTTTGCTGATGTGTTATAAGTCGGTCGGACAAAAAAGTGAGGCAATCATTATTGCTGTGAGGAACCTAGCATTTATTTAACTTTTCAGTGACTGCAGCAAGTATCCATGTTTGCATTGAAAAGTTGAAGGCAGTTCTATTTCTACACTCTTCCGCTCGCAAGAATTTTTCTTGCGTGTCTGTGCTCAAAGAAATAGCGCTGCAAAGCTTGATTGCAGTTTGCACGATTACGCGTACAAGACAGGGAGCTCTGGCACACAGCTCCTCTCCAATCTATGGCAGCGATGCGTGCGGCGTTTATCTGGCAACGGGTCGAATGCATAATGAAGGATGATAATTGTTACACTTTTACTACGAGCGGGAAATGGCAAGCCTTCAGTGCTCGTAAGGGAGCAACGCTGCGGCAATCCTCGCTGCCTTGTGAATTCTCTGACACATGGGCAAGTTGTCAGCGTAACACTCAATAAAGAAAGAAGACAAAAATTACAAACATTCCAGCCAATCACGGTGAGGGATATGTCAATTCAGAAGCTGACTGACCAATTTGACAACTCTTTTACGATATTAAAGTCTGGGGATTAGAGCCCTAATATACACTAAAAGGCAATTTATTCCCGTAATTGCCAAAGGAAATGAAATGTTTGGGATCGCTGGAATAACATTATAGGAAGAGAAATAAACGATTGAGTTTCTTCAGCTGCTTTCACTTCTACAAAAATTAGTGTTTAATCATAATTTTTAACGAGATCTGTGTTATGCGGGCTCCTTCAGGGGGCAGAGAGGCGGTGAATTATTGCGTTGTGTTATGATGAAATTTGTTCTTATGTTGACAAACGGGGGCTGGACGAATACGTTAGGGGTGCTCTAGGTCCCCCATGGCCCGCGCTTGTGCCGTCCCTGCGAGCAAGCAGTATAGGCTTCTTTACCTCATATTCTCATATTGTGTTCTCTTATTTCTAGCACCAACCTCTGGCCAGCGGTGAGTATCACGGGCGTTCTTTAAAAACTTTTTTTTCTTTCTTTTACAAATACGCAGAGATAAACAATCTGACACACAATTAAAACAAATAAAAAACAGCTGGGAGTTCAAACACGGGCTGAAAAATGAACTCAGAATGCTTCAAAAGCTGAGAAAAGCCTAGTTCACACTGAAACATCCGCTTTCTACAGCGACCGAAATTCCCCTGCCGCCGAAACGCAGCGTCGTTCGCACTGGACGCGCCCTAGCCGCAGAATATGCCATCCAACACCGGGCGAACGCCGGATGAATGCGCTGTCACCCGGTTGTTGTCACGGCTCGCGAACGTCACTACGATATCCAGTAGTGTATACTTCGATGATTCTCGTACGCAGGAAGCAAGAAAAGACAGTACTGCTTACTTTGCTGGCAAGTGGCTGTCTTGTAATGCACGAAGAGCAGAAAAAACCACCAACGCCAGCAGCGTTGGTGGGTTTGTTTTGCTCTGCAAGACCGTAATAAGCTCGGTCACGCCAACAGCAAGCTCGGTCACCTTTTCGACGAAATACGGACGCGAAGTAGGCACAGAGTAGGTTAAACTCCTGTTGTTTTCAACGTTCAGTTACGTGCACTGCGGCATAACAAGTGAGTAGGGCTTGGCCGCCATTATTCAAAATTCCTTGATTAGCGCTCCTATTGGTCCGTGGTGACCGATTCGGCGGCAGACGCCGCAAAAATTGGTCCGAGAGCGATCGGCGCGGAGAGGGCCCTTTCGGCGAATCTCGCTGCCGCCGAACCGGATTCGGAGCACTTCCGGCGGCAGGATTGCTCAGTGTGAACGCGGCCTAACAGCTGCAAAAGTGTACAACGACGGCGAAGAAAGGTGTGATAATTTATCTGCGCGTGCCCAGGCGATTGGCGAAACCATCAATCAATTTGTACGCCCTTTCTTTCAAAATGACTACTTACCAAGCAGCTCAGCTCTCCCTCATTCTACCAAGGGTCACCCATGGAACAAACGAAAGAAAAGAAAATCGCACCATCTCTCACTAGAGGGAACCAAAACTAGCATGCAAAGCAGTGAGTGCATGGGTCGACTTGAAGTTCCCTTGATCACTGGCACCTTGCTCGACGTTAGCGCGTTCTTGCATCTGAGGCACACCTTGAATTTACTGTAGTTTATGTTGCTGTTACTCGTCTCGAACTCTTGTTGGAGCACGCCACACGTGTTTGTCGCACGTCTGCAAAGTCTCGTTACCTCACGCCATCACGTAATTGCTGAGAGAGCGTAAAAGCGACCGGGCACAGCCTTTTACCCACGCACCTATGCAGGCCTGAGTGCGTTAGTGCTGAGCGCATTCTGGCAGTGCTTGGGCAAGCTGTTGCGCATGCTCAATAAGGGTGTTCACGCCTCACACCACCGGAATGAACTCCACCCTATATATAAGCTGCTCCCCATTTAAATGATGAAACGATAGCTTCACGAATAGCCACGCGAGAAGGAATCTGGAAAGCCCTGAAGTATTACTAGACTACACACTAAAACGCACAAAGCACCCTATGGTGTCAGCGCAGCGTTCTGCGTCACAGCTCACTCTACGTTCAAGAGATGTTTCATTCCGGAACATTCACCATCAACTCGCCATGCATTCCAGTCGCAACCGCAGCCACAACTGAGTATCAGTATCATTTATGTCACAGAATGGTCACTTTTCGATTGACATCAAAGTCATCAGTAGCATTATAATGAACGCTAGAACAAAGTGGGACGCTTGATTACTAAGGCTGCATATTCGTGCTACTGGTACCCGTACTTCTATTTCTGATGAACTATAGGTTTGATTGACTTCAGAGATTGAGCATTCTAAAGCAACGATGTGGTCATAAGAGGCGTCCCTAAATAGAGGGTCATTGGCTAACTTTGACAAATTTGAGGTGTTCTCAAGGTACACTGCGTCTACTTAAACGGGCTAGCGTTTTATCCAGGAGATGTTTGAGCTGGCCCTCATATGCTTTGTGTTCGCAAAACAACTAATTAAACAAGCTTCCAGCATAGCAGAACCATGCATAGAATCTCGCATTAAGGGGGAGATATGAGAGGTCAGGGTGAGAAGGAAGGAAACGAGGAGGAGGGTGTTACAGTAAGGCGTAGTGTCCTGTAGAATGGTCAAGTATGGGAAGGAGATGGGAAGGAGAACTGAGGGCGAACTAAGGAGGGGTGATGTAAGGGTGAAGATGATGGGAAGATGGTAAAGGATAGAATGGCCATGTGTACTAAAGTAGGTAAAAGGTGGAAAAGAGGATCAAGGTACAACAAATAAGAACCTCGTAGGGTTTAGGGAAGCAAGGGACTGCGAAAGGTAAGTAAGGGACGTGACTGATGTAAGATAGACGTGAAAAACGAGGATGGAAGAGGCCAAATGATTGCATAGCCATCTATAGAATGGTTAGGAGCGCAGCAATATATAGTATAGGAAAATGTTTGAAAGGGAAGTAAAGGTGAGAGAAAAAGGAAAAGAAGGAAAAGCCACCAGCTTCGTGCTTTTCTCAGTATTCGCACTATTGGCGCATAGCTGCCCCAATTTCTTTTAATTAAAGCTTTTGTATATCGTTTTCATCGACGTGAGGCCTAGAATAGTCGTTCAGAGCCCGCTTCTGCTCAACAGCAGGACAGCCGCGCCACAGTGGTGTAGTGACTAAGGTACTCGGCTGCTGACCCGCAGCTCGCGGGATCGAAACGCGAATGCGGCGGCTGCATTATTTATGAAGGCGAAAATGTTGTAGGCCCGTGTGCTCAGATATCGGTGCACATAAAAGATACCCACGAGGTAGAAATTTGCATAGCCCTCCACTACGGCGTCTCACAAAATCATATCGTAGTTTTGGGGTTGTTAAACGCCACATATCAATCAATCATCATCTACAGCAGAACGAAGTATCCGCCCAGCCACAACAGCGAGTTCGTACTGGCTACTTGGTTCGCAAGGATTGAAATCGCATGATGTCAATTCTTAGACTTTCTAAACACACGCGCGTTTCCACTGTTGCTTATAAATGATGACTTGTTTCAGTTCCCGTCTTTCACTCGTATTTAATGTATGTGTTGGAAATTCTTGATATTTTTTTCACTTTTCAGAGAGCAGCCGCTTGTGAGCACATTTTTGTATGGTGCGCTAGTGATCGTCAGCGTGGTGCTCTTCAACCTGCTGATTGCAACTGTTTTCGCGGTGACAGGTGAGTCGTAGCATCTACCTTTCCTACAGGGCGCACGCGTAGGATCCTGGAAGAGTGTGCTAAAAGTGCCTACCTCCCGAAGCTCGTATGAGACGCCATATCAAAACACTTAAAGTACACCTAAGCAACTTTTTTTGACATAATTTGTCAATCTCGGCCCGCTAGGCATTGTACAACAGTGTAAAAAGCATAGGCAACAGAATTAGATTCGTGTATATCGTCTGGGAGCAAGCAGTGAATCAGTTAATGAATCAAATTACCAAGCTCTCATCTTTAGATTCATTCGCACAATTTAATTTCACGTTGCGTCAAAATAGGGTATTTCATACACCGTATACATACATACATACATACATACATACATACATACATACGTTTTTATTTTGAAATACTGAAGAACTAAATTGACAGCCATCAAGCACGGGCCTGAAAGGTTGCATCTGGTTAGCACTTTTAATTAACTGATTACTTCCATTTGACAGAGATAAAAATACAGAAACAGATGATGTAATATTACGCCTTAATGGAATCGAATCAGGTTTAGTTTAACACGCACAAATAATGTTTTTGCGCGACTTATTCGACAAACAATAAGTTTCTGCAGGCATACCATCGGAAGGCGACAGCACCGCACTGCTTCGTACGTTTTTTCCCCGCTGTTTCTTGCAGAAAGAAAATACAATGACGGCCAGCTCATATAATGTGTCACGGGTATAGTGCGTAGGGTGGCGATAAACCTGCAGGTCTACCAAGGTTCATGAAAGTTCCGAAATGCTGTCAGCAACACTTTGGAGAGGGTTGATGTAGGTTTCTGTATTATAGCCTATTTATGACAAGGAGTGTTTACACATATTTCCTGCTATTTAATTATGTTTTATTTTAACGCATTACCTATAAAGAGCTCCTTCCGCACAAATTTTGGTGCTTGCGTTGGTGTTGCCCTCGTTGGTTGTGAGCAAAAAAATATCACATGCGTGACCGAAAAATCGAGAATGGTGCAAATGAAATAAATGATCAAAAAATCCTGGGGCAAAAACAGAATCGAACCCGGGTCGTTTTCGTTGGAAGCAGATGTTGCATTACATAGCCACGCGTCTCATTTGGGAATAGAGTAAAAAAAGGTCTTCTGGTTAAACGTTCAGTGAAAACAACATGCTTTACAAGAACACGCCTCCTTTGTACAATATTCACAATACGACATAAATAGTGCAGCAGTAATGCGTGGTACAAGTGCACATTACCAGCTGGTGTCATAACATGTGATTATTATAGGTGCACTCTGCCGAACAAGCAGGAGGTTTTTACAAGCACTGAGAGAAAGCACATACTAATAGAGATTATGAAATATGTATTTCCAAAAAGTGATCCAATTAGCCTAGTTAACTCAGCCACCAACTATTGCATCACGTCACCACTACACGAACCTTTTTCAGTGAATCTCACATTTTACTTTACTTTTCTTGAAAAGTGTGAGAACGGGTGGCGACGTAACGTGCTCGAACAAAGTTTTACAAAAAAAAAATAAAGTACGCGCCTAATATTGAAAGAAGGAAGTAACCTGCTGTATTGCAGCCAAGGATACGCCTCAACTGACACGCGCGAATCGTGCGGGTAGTTTGTTTTTGCACCCGTCTCTGGACGCTCCGCGCCATCTACGCGCGATGTTGTGAAGCTTTTTACACGGCGCTTGGCCTTCCATCTGTTTTTCGCTACTACTACTAGAGGCCGGATTTTCATACATTACAAAAGCGCGGCTTAGAAGCCAAATTGGGCAGGCCGGAACACGTTTTAGGTCTTCAGCGACCTAAAGGCAAATACATTAGGTTTTTACATACAGTAAATAATTTTAAAACAAACACGTGCTGACCTGTAACGAGAGGAAAGCAAAATAACATTGTAATTGTTTATTGGGGTACAAAGGCGCCGACAGTTGAACATATCCGTGTCATCGTCCTTTCTTCATGCAAGGTTCACAGAAGATGGTCTCGACTTTGATTATCTAGAACAGTCAGTCAAGTGTCCACTGTCGATTCAGCACATTCTGGGGACTGTTCTATTTTTTTTTCAGCATGAGTGAGAAGAACAGCAGAGGAAACAGACAGCCAGACTAGTGGGCAGACTACCTCAAACTGGCTTGGTCATGTCGCGTGAGGTCAATTTCTCTCCTGTCGATGAACACCTTTAAAAGTAATTCACAAACAAGGTGAAGGTCGCGTGCACATATTATTCTTTTTTTTGTCTTCCCCCTCCTTTTTCATGATGGTTCTTCACGGTTTCGCATTCCCAAAAAGTGGAGAATGATAAAAAAACACTACAAGGCCGAAATTTTCAAAGCGCTTCCCAACAGCGTGCCTCACGATAGAATCCTATTCTGGGCCTGTAATACCCCAGCTTAATTACATCAAGCTGCCTCATATAGGTTGACAGAAGGTGCCTGGGCGCACAGTCTAGATGCGCCACGAAAAATTGTAACAGAGGTACAATTCATAATGTGTTCTTCATAAGACTGGCCGAAAACGTCGCATATTGACTCCGTCTAGCTGCACAATGAGTAAAGAGGGGATCCGGTACGTCCACAGTCTCTGGGCCACTGCCTTTTTTGACACCCAAAAAAGCTAAAAATAACTGAAATCTATCTGTATCTTTCTCTCAAGGTAACGCAGGGAGGCGCTCGCAAAGAAGGCAGCACCAGACGAAAGTAGACTTCGTTCACTACAGCACGCTTCCAGACCGTCACTTCCGGTTCCTCTCATCAGGTCCCCGCGAATGCAGGAATTGAGGCGCCTGACCACGCTCAGCGAGTGCTCTTTCGAAAGCACGTTGAAAAGGACGACGTGCAGGACGCAAAATGACGCTCGTACCACCTCGACTTGCGACGAATGCTTCCGCTTTTCGTCGCGTTTTTTCGTTCTTTTCCTGCGTGCGTGGTACTGCGACAAGCAAAGTGTAATCATCTTGAAGAAGGAAGAACGAGCGGAGGATTCGGTCTTTTGTTTTCTAAGCCTAATCCGCAAAACTGCTATCAAATGTCCTAAAAAATATTTTGAACAACGGTGTTTAGAAGATATAACTCATATAGTCCCTTTTGCAAGCACATAAGACTGCACGAAGGCTCAAGGCCTCAAGTGTGGCTATTTCATCATCATTGTCATTGGATCTTGAGAGGTCACGTGAGTAATTGTAATCTTATTAATTACAGCGGCTGATGACGATGGTATTGATGATGAATTATGTAGCTCAGCTTTTTTTAATGGATTAGAAGCTTCAAAACAGTCATTCGTTGTGAAATGCACATAGTCTGACGCCACGTGAGATTCGCGCTTCCGTTTCGCAATGTTATGTCTGTTTGCTTGACTGCTTGCCAAACGTCACAACCGTGTAGGATCGGCATACATCGGCGTGACCACGTCGGTGCAGTTGTCACGCCCAGACATGCTAAACCTTTGCGTGTCTCTGTAATTGTCCTCTTAGTGACGAGATCAAGACAACAGTCAAGGGATGTCGTTGTGACGTACACTATCCATAAAAAAAAACTCCGAGGTTCGTGGTAATCGTCTATGATCACCACGGCTAATTATGTATTGTTCCGAAAAAAATCTTGTAGTCCCAATTACTGGGTATGAGGCTGCATATGCCACCTCTGAAACTGTATTTCTTGAGTGAAGCCAGTGTTTTCCTTTTTTATAGTTATTTTATGAAACATTACGAGACGCGAGGTTTTCGGGCTTCTTGAAGATATACTGAGATAAATAAGGAATACACTGATGCAACATTTTACAAAAATGGATTTGATTCAAATCAAATGGATTTGATTTACATTTAGAAAACTGCGCTATAGGAAAGAACAAATAGGAGAGCACGCAAGCACTGCTCTTCGACCATGTTTGACTGTTTTTGCGCCTCACTGTACGTACATAAGAAACAACACAATCATTCCACATCTATGGAAACAAGATCTCGGTGTAAGAATGCGAAATTGTGTTTTCGAAATATTCGACATTATGTTTTTGCGATGAGATCGTAACGCTATGCTGAACCATCTTTCTGCATTTTTCTAGGTGTTAAAAGCTTTTAAGATTTCACGTCGAGTTGCTCTGCATAAACGCGTAGTATTCCACTATCTTCGACTTTCTCTGTATTGCTGCAGCGTTGTTACTTCATTCAGAATCAAGACGCACCAACTAACGCAATTCAAGACGCTTGCTTGCTTGCTTGTTCCTATGTGCTTTGGCTCGTACCCACTATGGGGGATTGGCCATAAAACCAACGGGTATTGTAATGAGGAAAAGTAATAGGTATTTTTTGAAGAAGAAAAATTAAATATTCAGTCATCTAGAGAATATAAGAGTGGATAAAAATAAAGTTACCAACGAATAATGCTGGTAAATAAGTAGTAGTTGAAAGGAATGAACGCTCATACTAAAACTTGAACTCAATATAATTAGCTCACACCGACTTTGGTAATTCAGTCATAAAGCACATAGTCAAAAATAACTGCACGCAGAAAGTTTGTTTGCATTATGAGAAAAATAAACCATTGGTAAGAATTGATTATTGCAATTTACTAATTTAGACTAAAACCTATTTTAACAACGCAGTAAAAACTTGACGGACCCTTGAGCTTCGTTTTCAAAAGCTGAAAGTATTTATTTGAATTTTCTCTATAAGGTACAGTGTGGCCAATTATCTTTGTGGGTGTGAGCCAAGGTCTTTTAGGCAAAAAACAAAAAAAAATAGTACAGTCAATCCTCGTGCAAATGGCCGACTCTCAAAGGAAGAAGATGAAGAAGAATCTCTCTGCCATCTGCGGCATTATTTGACTGAGAAGCATGGGTTCTCAGTCAAATGCATTTAAATGCCCAATATGGAAACAAATATGAAAGCTATGAGCCTTTGTTCCAACCTAAAGTGTACAATTAAAAAATCACAGTTCACTATATCTTCAACAAAGGGAAAATTCATATCTGCCTGGTGGAATGCGGATTGCGCCAGAGATTATA